ACAACTTCTGTCTTGCTAGGCAGGAACCGCAATTCTGCTAGTGTCTTAGCCCTTTTGAAACCAGGAAAGACACGTGTTAAATCAAACAAGCAGGGCTGCAAAAGCCCCGCATCATCCGCACATCCTCCGACCACCCCCCGTGGAGACGACGACGACGCCTCCGCCACCAGAAGCGTTAAGATCGGGCCCTTTGCGCTGGTCCGCACCGAGCCCGAAAGTGGGCGGCCTTGCATCGCGCCGTAACACAAGGAACGCGCATATCATTTCGCCTTGTAGCAGGGCAATGCCGCGAGGCTCAAAGTACAGCGAGGCAAGCAAATTCAGATATCCAAGACGCGCGAAAACGAGAGAGCACCTCCCGCAGCCAGTCGTGGCCACGAGGTGGAAACGCAGCGGTTATATCGAGCGCAACAGAGACCGGCGCCTGTGCTTCAGCTGCTTCGCTGATGCTAGCTGAGCGGGCAGCTGAATCTAGCTGGAGCAAATCAAATAGAAAATTCCCGCCCGGCACCAATCCTTGCTGGACTTGGCGGGTGCGCGCGCGGACCAGTCCTCTGAGCTTCTGATTGTCCGTCGATGCTAGGATCTGAGGATCCGTTTTGCGCGACGAAAGAGGGCGAATTTGGTCTGGACTCCGCGCGCACTCATAGGTGTCTTGGGCAGGAAGGCGAAGATGGAGTCATTCAGGGCCTCTGGTTGATGGTGGCCCGCCATGAGGTGTTACAAGAGGCCGTGCAGGACTTCGACCTGGCCCTCCGGGGCCACGCATGCCTGCGGTTGCCCTCCTCGTAGAAGTCGTTGAGCTGCTTGTGCGGCTAAATCGTGGTCGGCCCGAAGCTCTGCAGTGCGTGGTGAACGAAATTGACGGCGGAAAGAATTGGGCTCCCGATGCCAATCTTGCGCATCTCGAGGGCGAAGATACCTGGCGCCCGCGTCTGAACTGGCAATAATGAGAGCTGTGAATATCGCATCTTGCCTCCAGACTGCGCGAGAAATACTGCGCAGTGCGATGTTGCGCCCCCCTCGGGCGCGCTTGTCCTTGGCGCGAAATTGAAGTCGCTACACTTGCCATCGTGTTCGTTTGGCCGCTTCAATCATGAGTTCATTTAGGTGCTGCCATCTGGTAACTGGAGGAGAACGATCCAGGTCCGCAGCAACCATCAGCTTGTTCAGGATATCCTTATACCTTACGTCGCTGAACACCACATCAGGGATGCGATGGTCGGCGGCGTCTCCTGGCGCCTTGCACTTCAGGTCGAGCGGCAGCATGGAGTGGACGTTGAGCCCCGCCTGGGACATCTCGAGCGGGCCGAAATCCACCTTCAGGAGGGCATCTGCGTCGAGGAGGACGTGTTCTGGGGATGCAAGAAAGCCCCAGGCGATGGCGGAGGCAGTGTGTTGTTGGCGACTGAGATGAGTTGGGATGTCAGCCTGCGCTTCCAGTGTCAGATCGAAGAGAGCGCGCCAAAATATCTCATTCGGCTGGAATGCCCGCGCCGTCGATAAAATTGTTTGCAATGGAGTTGGCTCGTCGCAACTAGGAGGCCCCCCTTTCACGAATGTTGAAGTCGCCCACGGCACTGAAACTGCGATGAAGGGGGCTACCATGATTCCACCCAACTGCGTCTTCCAAGTGTTGGCAACAAATTGTTTGAAGCGGGGGGCAATATCATAGCCGTGCACATGCGTGATCAGCCAAGAGTACTGGACATCAGCGGAGTCAATGCGGAGTGTAGCGCCCAGCCACAGAACTAGGGCATGACACTTAACCTGACGGCGAGGTGCCGGGGGCGCATCCCGACCCCGCGGCAGTAGGAACGCAACTCCTCCCTTCCATGTCTGCGACGCTTGGGAATGCCATGCACGATGCGGAAAAAGGGAGATGACGCAATGAACACTTCAAGTTGTAGTCGGTCACCATGTGGCTCTTGAAGCATGTTGAGCAGACCCTGGCACATTTACCTTCCGAGTCGAAGTCGCTTCTTTCTACGACGCCAGGCATTATGACAGCAACGGCCCCTGGCATTCCAAGACACTAATTGCCCTGAGCTCGAAGCTGCACAATTAAGGATTATACGCTAAGAGCACCGCCTGCCGTCATATAGACCAGAGTGATGTGTCGGTGGCACGAATTGTGCGCTGGAGCGTGCCGTTGATGTTTTGTTTGGCAATCCCGAGTCTGGCAATGGCATCATCATCCCATCTGGGCTGGGTGGCTGCGGATACATTGTCCCCGACCTCCACGCCAACGATGGGGGTGGCGCTGCGCGAGACCATCCCGTCGTTGCCCACCTGCCTGAAGAAATGCCCCTCGTGCCGCTCTCCGAGTATCTGTGCAAGCTTCTTCGTCTGAATTTCGCGCCGAAGCGTTTTGGGACTCTTGTCTGCGTTGATGTAGAGCGGGGTGACGGCGCCGTTGGCGCTGCTGCATGAGAGGTGCTTCCATCTGCCCCCCCTGGCGGAGGTTCCTCGCCAGGGAGACGCTTCGAGAGGAAGCCGC